CATTAGAAGAGATAAAAAGGGGTAAAAAATTATCAGGTCAATTCACATAGGATGAAATAATTCTACATTTGTGTATGTCCTCAATAATACAGCTTCTGAAGCTGAGCGTGGTGGCACACACCTGTAATCCCAGCGCTTGGGAGGCTGAGCAACAGGATCATTGCAAGTTCAAGACCAGCCTAGGCTACAAAGTGAGCTCAAGGCTAGCCTGAACTGCACAGTGAAACCCTGTCTCTAAAGACAAAAAAAAAAAAAAAAAAATACAGCTTCTGTATACATAACATGAAAATTACCAGTGTCACAAGAAGAAACATAGAAGACAATCTAAACTCATAGTGGGAGGTTTTGACATTACTTTCTAAATTAAAGACACACACACACATCATCCCCAGAATGAGGAAAATACAGATTTAAATTAACTGGAGCAAATGTACCTGATTGCAAAATACACATTCCTTTCTTTTCTTTCTTTCTTTCTTTCTTTCTTTTATTACTGGGGGTTGAACCCAGGGCTTTTGCACTGAGCTACATGCTCTGCTTCTTTTGTTTTGGTCTTTTTGAAACCGGGTCTCACTATTTAGCTCAGGCTGGCCTTGAACTCACTTTGCAGCCTAGGCTGGCCTCGAACTCACAGTGATCTTCCTGCCTCAGCCTCCCAAGTGCTTAACCGACCCTTTCTAAAGTTTTTATTTTAAAATAGGGTCTTAGTAAATTGCTAAATAGTCCAGGCTGGCTTGGAACTCTGATTATTCTGCCTCAGCCTCCCAGTGTGCTGAGATTACAGGTGAGTGCCACCACACCCAGCTCACACAAATTCTTTTCAAGCATATCTCAAACAACTACAAAAAATGGCCTTATGCTTAATCAAAAAGCAAGTTTCAATGCATTCAAAAGACTGAAATTTGGGTCAGGTATGATCGTGCATGCCTGTAATCGTAGCACTTGGGAGGCTGAGGCAGGAGGATTGCCATGAGTTCAAGGCCAGCCTGGGCTATAAAGTGAGTTCAACACCAGCCTGAATTACATAATGAGATCCTGTCTCAAAAAAGCCAAAAAGGACAGAAAGAGAGAGAGAAAGAGAGACAGAGAGAGAGAGACAGAGAGAGGGAGACAGAGAGAGGGAGACAGAGAGAGAGAGAAAGAAAGAAAACATTGAAAAAAGACTGAAATTTGGGGCTAGGGATTTCACTCAGCGGCAAAGCGCCTGCCTGGCAAGCACAAGGTCGTGAGTTTGATTCCTGGTATTGGAAGAAAAGACCAAAAAAGAAAAAAAAACCGTAAGACTGAAATTTTACATACCACATTACTGACCACAAGGCAACTAAGCCAGAAGTTAGAAATCCCTCATGTATTACAAATATAAAGTAACTCTACTATAACTCATAAGTCAAAGGAACAAGTTACAATACATATTAAGAAATATTTTGAGCTGAATGTAGAATTCAGGTAAAGATAAACTGAGAAGGACATCTATAATTTTAAACACACATATTATAAAAGAACACAAGCTAAAGATTGATAACTAAGCATTCATCAAGTTAGAAAGACAGCAGATGATTAGCCCTTCCACCAAGACAGAAAAAATAATAAAGAAAAATTAGTAAAATAGTGAATAAATATACAATAGTGAAGATACTAATAAATTTGTGGAGGGGACACTGGAGCTCAAACTCAAGGCCTCACACATGCTAGGCAAGAGCTCTACCACTGAGCTACTCTCCACCCAAAAATATTTATAAAACTGATAAACCTCTCATAAAGCCATTTGGCAGGGTGTGAAAGAAGGCACAAAACACCTGGAAGGAAAAAAAAAAAGACTATGACCCCATATCAAAAGCCATTAAAGAGCCATGAGACCTTCATAAACAAGTATGCCAACACACACATGTGAGAATTTACAGGGCCAAATTCCTATAAAAGTAACCCTTACCACAACCGGGAAAATATGCCAAGCACAGTGGTGAACAACTGTGACTCCAGGCGCTTGAGAGGCTTAGGCCAGAAGATCCCAGGCTCAAGCCCAGCCTGAGCAACACAGTAAGACCCTGACTCAAAAAACAGAAAAAAACCTGGGCGAAAGAGAAAATGCGACTGTATTCATAATCAAATTTATTCATACAAAGACAAATTCCATCCTCAAAGCTTTATACATCAATCCAACCATTTACATATGTGAAGAACTTTTCACAGACTCTTCTTCCAAAGTATTAAAAAGAGGGAACACTACCTCACGCATAGGGCCAACATGATACCTAACAAGAATACTACAAGAATATACTCAAATCAGTTTATGTAATACACCATGTCAATAGAGCCAAGGACAAAAATCACATGATCATCTCCATCGATGCAAAAAAAGCCTTCAAGAAAGTCCAACACTCATTCATAATGAAAACCCTACAGAAAATAGGAATAGATG